CATAATCATTCTCTCTTCCCATAGAAAAATCTTCGATTATGGATTAAGATGATGTTTTTTCTCCTCCATTAAACTCTCCATTGTCGTCACCTCTTCTAGAATCGAACTGTCGTTAGAGATCAGTATAGTTAACTATGTTCGAAAATCAGTATAATATGTAACTATGTTTTTATGATAATAGTTAATTATGTATGTTATTCTTTGTCATTCTGCAAACTATAATATATAACTATGTTTCAGATAATAGTTAACTATATATGTTATCATTTTTCATTATGTAGACTATAATAGTTAACTACGTTCTGAACATAGTTAACTATGTTTGTGTAAACAAGTAACTATTACAACAATATTTTTTTGTAGTCAACTATGTTATGAAACTGTTAAAGTAGATAATTATGCTTTGGAAATAATTAACTATACTTTTAAATTAGTAACTATTTTCTGAAAAATAGTTAACTATATTCTAGATAGTTACAAACTAGTGTGTGGTAGCTAACTATCTTCTGAGATAAATACAATATTTAGTTCAAAAATAGTTTACTATGTTATTAAGAATATGTAAGTTCGATAATAGTCAACTATATTAAATAGTTAAGTGTTATAACATATTGTTTTTGTCATCTTTTCTAGCTGTTTACTGATCTAATCTTATTTCGTTTGGAGAGCCAATATATTTTTCATAGATAAAGACAACAATATATTTTTCAGAGATAAAGACACCGTGACAATTTTTTAGAGATGAGAAGAATATAACTTTTTGTGTATTTTTTAATATTTACCTTAATTTTTGGGATTTTTTTAATTTTTGAGAGATGAGAAGAATATAATTTTTTTGATTTATTGATACTTTCCTTAATAAATTTTTTTGTAGGGGTAGTTTCATCCGAATATATTTTCTCTCTGCTATTTAGTTAAATCCAATCATCAACATGTTAGTTTCCTAATTAGGGTTAATTTATGTAATAACCAAAAAAATATTATAATTGGTAATCTAACCAAAAACCATAAAATGAGTGGCTATGATTTTGCCACATAAAATGTTTTTGGTTAGATTGCCAATTATAATTTTTTTGTATGGCTATTGATGCCAATTTCTCTTCTAATTATAGTTTCCAAAAGTAATATTGAGCTAATTCACCCAAAAAG